ATGAGCCTCACAAAGGGCGGGCCAAGGTGGCGCACTGACGGCGCACCTCCGCCGAAATTGGAAGACTCAATAAGACAGGTACAGTACATGTCTTGCATCGATCGACCTGTTCTTTTTTCTTCTTCGCACGACTCGCTCCTTGTTGATCTGATCGACACGTCGGTTTTTTTTGTTTCTCGCACGACGAAGCGTCCGACGAAGCGTCCTTGTTGATCTGTTGAAAAATCTCAGTGGCCTGGGTCCTGACGAAGCCAACATAGTTTCTGCACTGAGCGAGTTCGTTCAGCAGGGTCAAACGCCCCCATGGTATTTCCTCTGTATACAGGTTGTTTTCTTATGCCTCCAGGAGCTTGGGGGAAGACCATGTCCCGATGTTTTGGACAAGACCATGTCCCGACGTTGGGGGTGTTCAATGTCTCAAATTCCTGCTGCTTGGAACCAGCCCCCATGGTGGGTAGAAGATCTGCATCACACCATGGGGCCTTGTGCCCTGCAACATCCGAGAAATAGCTTTTGCAAACTTCCTTTAGGATCGCAAGGTGTGATTTCCTGCTTTAACATCTATAAGTATGATCGAACCACACGAATTGTTTGCATATACCACACGACACCCTGCACAAATTGGTCGCGATTTGAGGCATTTCTGCCGCAAACATCTTGGAGATGCTCTTGCACGTGAACCACGTGAAGGCGGACAATACATATGATTTCCCGTCACCCGGCTGTCCTTTCGGGACCCTCCACTGGATGCTTATCTGGATGCCACCTCAGCTCTGAACATGTGGAGCGGGTGAGTAGACTGAACATGTGTTTGTCTCTTTAGGAGGGTGACATCTCCGAGAAGAAGTTGGGAAAGCATCTCGGAGAAAGGTTAAGTGAACAAATACAAGAACAAATAAGTATCTCATCTCTGCCATTCTCTGCCCAACCCATGAACTTTTCAGCCACACTAAGCCACACTGCTACAGCAACAAGTGATGTTTGTCATATGAGGGAAGGGAACGCCCACAAACAATAACAATAATAAAATACACGTGCATCGCATATACTGTGATGATCCTCCTTCTCCAAAGGTCTCCAAAGGATGGCCCGGTCTCCAATTTCACACCCTTACATACGTCTACAGCCTTAACTGAACTCTATTTGATAGAATATATACATTATGCATTAGTTCACAAGAATTTATCAGATATCTTATGGACTTCATATGATGTTATGTGTTTTAAGATATGGATTTCATACCCTCATGCATACGAAACAACAGCAAGGCTCGTCACCTGTCATTACTCTTGCCATCCTCATCGATCCAGCTTTCACCGAACTCTGAGCTTCCGCACTGCAACGCCAGCAGTCGGAAGTGTTTTCGGACCTGTGCCGCCCCCGCAAAACGACGAAAAAGGCGACTCCTGTGAAGCCATCGGATTTGTCTTGAGGTAGCCCTCCATGGTAGCCTTCCCCAAAAGGAGAAAAAGACCACACGCTGCAAGGTCGAACCGGTGCCATGGTTTTCGACCGCCCGGCGGCCAGGGCGGAGAGCGGGGCGGTGCGCCTGAGCTTCCGTGGCATTGGGCTCCAAGTTGAGAGAAGCGTAGAAATCATGGGCCTACCATCGGTGCGCAAGCCAGTCACGTGTCCAGGTGTTTCAGCTTCAGCCGTCCAGGTGTTTCAGCTTTAGCTGGGCAAATGCTTATTGTTGTTCCCAGAAGCTCCAGATTGAAGCCACAGCATCCTCAAAGGGACAGGTGGGGTGAGAACGGAAGTGTCACATTTTGAGGTTTCGATGGACCTCCGAAGCTTGTGTTTGATGGACCTGCAAATGGCTGGGACCCTGGTCTTGCTTCGTCACCATCTGTTCTTTGGCACAAAAAGCCACAGCCTGGCTGGCGACCGCGCACAACCGCATCCCAAAACACCACTAATTCCCATCTGCAAGTGATTCAGCCTCGAAGTCCAAGCGCTCTTGTCGACTACTCATGGCCCATGGCTCACGGCGCACGGGGTCCCAACGCGCAGTCCGCTTCGACCCGCTGGTGAAGTGGTGAAGAGTTTTGTGTTCAGGCCTTGATACATGGACTGCATTTCCTGTGCCAAAAGGACCATAATGAAGGTAGCTATACCAACCATGATCATTTGTGTGGTCTGGACCGTTTATGACCATTGGGCCTCTCAAGGAACTTATTGTGTGGTTGTGCAACACGAATGATTCATGTTTATTCCCCACTCATGGGCCTTGGAGAAAGAGTGGCAGCGGTGGTCCCCCACTCACTGAATTGGCGCAGCATCGACTCTTCAATGAACGCCTTGACCTTGGGGTGACTCGGTCGTTGCGTCCTCGTGTTCTATTAGCTGATATCTGATGGATTGGTGGCAGCTGGTACTGGCCCTGTGGTGAATGTCGACAGTTTTAGGGACAACTTGCCAGTCCTGATGCCATCTCCTTGAGACAACGATCCGATCCGTGAACGATACGTGGCGTGCGATACATGTTTTGTTTGGGAAACATCTGAGAAACAATTGGAGGCTTCAAGGACGCCATGGAGTTGGAGTCTGCCTTTTTGACGTACTGTTCATGTCGCCAGGGGAGTTTATGACCGCAGCCTACTCTCTTTGGCGTTCACGGCCGTCAGGGGCTGGCTGTAGTGGTCACAATGCCGATGCACGTGGAAAAACTGTAGCTTGCCACCGAAAGGGCCTCGTGCTGCTGAACACTAGAAGTGGAGTTCACCACCTGTTGTTTGGTATTCGGAAAATGGATGATGACCATTGCCCAACGCCAGGGCGGATGGTTCTTCGGCAAGGGCACACATGTTGTTGGGGTATGGGCAAAACTGGCAGGCACAGCATCAGTACATTTCTCTATATCATGCAAAGCTGGGATTGATCAACCTCCCGGCCCGAGTTAATCCGACCTTCCACATGCGGGGGGTTGTTGATTGGGTCTTCAGATCACATTAAAACTAACCAGAACATTGGTTTCTTGCTGAGAACGCAATCCTGTTGAACATCACCATCACCATTTTGCACCGGATCTGCGCTTTGGTGACTTGAATTTTGCCATGCCATCTCTTCGGACATGGGTGAAACGTCCGCGGCACCTCTAAGGAGGTATGTCCTGTTTGTTTTCTGTAGTCTGAACTGCCTATATAGATTGCTTTGAGGGATGGTTTCCTACACGATATATATAAAAATATATATCTATATACTTGCGCCCCTCCGTAGATTAACAAGGTATTGTCCACATGGTGCATATCTTCGGATCAGTTTATCAAAAGCACTTCCCTCCAACAATTTTGCAGCATCAGTTCTTATGCTGACCTTAATGCAGCAAACGCCAATAAACAGGTGGCCACCTTGGGATTGGGGGCCGTTTGACTGGAGCTCAAAAGGACTGGAACGGTTTCCAGCTGATTGTGATTTCCCTGACAATCCTCAAGTCTTCAAGTGCAGGGAGCAAACAATCCTTCAAGCTTTAACTATCCCATGCCATCTGCAACAACAGCAAAACTACCACTCTTCGCCAGTCGTTCTGCCTACACTGACTACAAAGGATACAAAGAGTCCCTTCACAGTGGTCAATCTTGGGGGACAATCCCAACCAAAAAATGCCAATAGGGCACAGTTGGGCACAGTAATCGGGACAACGGCTGAGTGTACTTTGCGAGAGAACAACATCCTTCCACCGTTCCGCGTGTTGTACGGTCCTGTCCAGGGCCCCCAAGCCACCCTCCCCAGGTGTCAATCTCTGCTGAACAGGTCTTTGACTCCAAAACAGTAGTGGTATGCCTTTGAGTCAAAACTCTGCATTTGTGCAATTGCTCACATGGACAGAATGGTCCATGTTGACTTGGTTGGGTGTCTAGCTTTGACCAGATTTCAACGCCCAGTTTCTTCCCACTGAGATTCACACGCGCTCATGGCTGCTCAGGCAAGTCTGAGACGGAGAGCCACAGATAACCTTGTGGAACTAGATCCACCTGCACAGGCGACAGCCATGATAGAAGGCATCAATGTTGACGGACCCAAAAGCAGGACCAAGACATATGTTGAAGCAGGAACGACGTCATACCTTCTGTCTGTGTTGAAAACAGTTTTAAGGGCCAATAAGTAATATAACCGCAAAAAGATCTCAACTGTAAAATCACAACACCACACCAACACTGCTACAGCCTTCAAGACCTGCATATGTTCCCCAAATGGGCAAAAGCATCAAGGAAAATTCTGCATGTGAGGCCTTCTTCACAGCTCTTGCTGATCGATAGAACTCTCAACCTTCTTTGGCTATCTGCCACATGTAAGAAAAAACAACAATTGCATGAATTTGGTGAACTTATGTAAACTTAATGCGCCTATCTTTGATGGCACCTTCATGAAAACCCTGCCCGGTTGATGTATTGAACAGGACAACCACAACCTGTTTAGCTTCACCACCCTCACCAAAAAAAAGTCTTTACCCTTTAAACTTTAAAATTGGTTAGCTTTGCCTGGCACAAGTTCTAGCTCTTTTCACAGCTTCTTGTGTCCAATCGCGGCCTTTCTTACTGCGTTTACTGGTAGGATGTGGTCGTTTCTCCTGGTGTCTCATGAATTTATGTGCGTGCCTTGATGAAATTCTGGTCGTTGTACGGCCTGGCTGTACCAATCACTGATCGATCAGTGACCTGGCAGTGTGGCAGTCAGAAGCAGTCAGCGGCAGTGCCGCTGACTGTAGCTGCTAGTTGCGAAGCTTTGTCTGTCGCTTGATAGTGGCGTGATTAAAGAACCTGGAAGGTTGTTTGGCGACCGGTTTCTTCCTATAGTTCCGCTAAATGGTGTGACTGGCTGCTGGCTAAACAACAACATCTATTATATACTATAAGCGCTACCAATAGGAAAACACATAATTACAACATGAAACCACCACCACCTGCTGCATAATGTTCTCCAGCCTGCTCCAATCCCTGGTTAAAAAATTAACAAGCAAACAACCATGTGAATCTTCTGAACCTGCCGCAGGTGCCTTTTTCTGATCGAGAACCGCTCTCATGGTCGATCAATGTCGATCCGCCAAAGGCCGCGGTGCTTCGGGCATCGCGTGAAACGAATGGGAAGGCTCGCCCAAGCGTGCTAACCTGGGCAAACGAAACGAAGAGCATTGACCTCCAACCTTAGAGCGATGGCCTCCAATCTACTAGAGATAGCCTCCAACCTACTAGAGATGGCCTCCAACCTAATAGAGATGGCGTCTCCCAAGCCTGCCTACCTGGGCAAACGACATTGATCGCAAAAGCCCTGCTGATGGCCACAAACTGTTGCGCGACGATGTCGCAACTGCAAGTGCAGTCATAGTCAAAAAAACAGCTATGCTGGCTCGAAACGCTACAGACAAATGGTTCAGTGGGTGCGAGTGTTGGCCCACACCAAGGAGCCCATTAACCAAGATCAAAGAACCAACCAACGTACCAACCAACCACTTTGTCGATTTAATCCACAATTCCCGTTCATCTGGGTCCTTCATGTTCCTTCTTTGTCACCGTGCGGCGGACCGGCGATCAGCTCCAACTGCTGCTGCTGCCGCGCGCGCCCGTCCGCGCGGCGTGACCCCGCGTCTTCGGCGGGGACTTGGGCCATCCAGCGGCGGCAGGTCTGGACGATCCACAGCGCAGCGGCTTCGGAGTCTTCGGTCGCGGAGTTGAGACCCATCCTGAGAACGGCGGAACGAACGAAGAGAACGAGTCTTCGGCGCGAAGAAGCGGTCCAAAGCGGCACGGCAGGTATGGGAAAAGAGCCCCCCAAAAAAAAATGGGGTGTGAAAGAAAGACATGCAAAGGGTTCGCACATGGCTGCAGTAACAATGTCTATAGGGCCAATACGTTCGATGGTATTGGGTGTATGTTTGTGACTCAAAGCCATATCTCCAGGATCCGTTTAAGCATACTCTGGAAGGGAACCCTCAAAAAAGGTCTGCGCATGCCAATGCAGAAAGCATTTTATCCCATCAATCTCTGATCACCTGTGATCCAAGCATCTGTGGATCTGGTGGCAAAGCCAAGACCCTAGAGACCAACTCCCTGAGCGCTGCGACGTGCTTCAGCACTTCAGACAAGTCAGGCACACCGGCATGGCTCCGCGCGTCGTCGTCGTGATGCGCAAAGTGGGCGATTCCTTACTAAGCGAAGCAAATGTGTTCCAGTATGGGAAGAGTTCCCAAAAAGGGTTGGGCAAAAGTTTTTTCTTCCAGTAAAGCGGATGGTAGATGGAAGCTCTGTGTTTTGCATAGGTTTGTGTCGATTTGTCCCTCCCTTCCAATCTCCATACCCAATCAGCCCTACAACAGCTCCTAAAAATTGACCATGAACTCCTGCCATGAGTGCCCGGCATGTCCCAACACAAAGGACTTATTACCTGGACCCTGAAAGACTTTTGCTTGTCCAGTCTCACTGGAAAAGACATGATGCAGAAAGTTCGCATGAGAATTGACCTCGAAAAATCATCTAATTACCTTCTTAATGTATGCTCCAGAGAGCCTTCGCCCCCTCGGGTCTTTGCCAAAAAAACTTCCGAGCTGCGCTGCAAGAGCCTGGAGAGCTCCGAGACGCGCTCCGAGAAGGGCGCGGCAGCGCCGCCCGCGGCAGGCTCGGTGGGCCGCGCGCGGAGCAAAGAGGGTGTGATGACGCGGCTCAACAAAAGAGTGGCGACGGCGTTCCTGGGAGACTTCCCCCAACGAAGGTGCGGGAAAACATCGTGATCATTGAAACACCATGATGGAAGGATATGTGGTAGTGTATATTCAGTGAGTATAGAAATGTATATAGCTAGAAATGTATACAGCTGTCTTGAAGATTCTGTGTGGACGCAATCACATATATACATAACAAATACGTATATACGTATATATCTATAATTGTCAACCACCTCAAGGGTTTCTTCCCAATCCAGGCGTCTGTGCTGCTAAAATGCCAAACTTTACCTCTGCAGCGGAGTAGACCAAGTGACACACGGAAGATAGTGAAGGATGGACATGACCCTGACCTGTCAGCCGGGCAGCGGAAAAGGAGTTAACCAATGTCAATTAGGGAGAGTGCAATTCTTCTGTCCAAAGCCCCGTTGACCAAATTTGTTTGTTGTTCTGAGGGCAGGTTTGAAGACAAGGAGGGGAGCAACAGCGTTAGAAACGTACCAAGTGACACAGTTTGCTGTGTTGAGTTCTCTTTGGACCTTGTCTCAAGGGCAAACCGAATCATATTGATGTTGTTTGCCCCAGGGTGCCCCACATTGAATATAAGCAATAAACGTGCCAACACACGCCGCACAGGAAAAAAAAACTATTGTAGGGGAACAGGGGAACCTGCTTATTGTGAATCAACGTCAATTGGACGATATGGGTGTGCAAAACCTGTGAAAGCAAAGTACTCGGACCACATGTCCTAAGGTTTATTCCGCAACCCGCGTGTCTTTTAACCAATCAAACTACAAAGCGAAAGAAAACGTCCCAAATGAAATTGTATTCACATTTCCGCAATGTAAATGAATTTTCATCAAGCTTAAAACACACACATAAATATATATATATATCTATATTTGTGCCATATTAAGCTCCGACGTAGCGGGGGGACAACATAATGTTCCAAACCATTCTGTGGAATTCCACTTGAAGGGGAACGAACTTCAGAGGGTTTTGCCCTCCACATGGAAACTGGACCGATCTAAGGATTTTTCACCCAAAGTGGCCACTCCGCAAAGCATGCACCATGTTCCGGATGAAGTTCTCGACCGACTGGTGCATGGATGTGTCGGAGGAGACTTCCACCTCACGAATTAGCATAGTGATCTCCTTTTCCATGAAGGAACCTGGGCGGAAAGTGGCTGAAACTGCCGGCAATGGCGACACGTTTCTGGAAGTGGTTTGCGGGTTTTGCGAAAGGCCCGTCTCTATAGAAACACTGGTTGCAAAGGTGGTTTGCGCGAGGAAAGGGAAGAAGAAAACCAAATGGAACCCACGAACCCGAATGCACACGCGTATGCAAACACAAATGGCCAACCGCGCCCAAGCGTAGTTTGACACTCTCCGACGACCCTCTTGAAGGACATTCTGGGGCGGCACTCTTCTCAGACACATTTGCTTGACACTCTTGCGCGACACTCTTCAAAACGGAACCATCTTTGGGCCACACACATGTGGGACTAGCAACACTCTTGTAGGGGACTCTTGCAAGGCACTCTTGTAGGACACCCTTAGCCTGCACTTTTGTTGCACTTTTGCTGGACACTCTTTTTTATGAGACACCCTTGTACACCCTTGAAAGACATTTTTGTGGTATTTGGTGAACATCATGTCAAGGTCGACTCCAAGAAGGCTCTCCAGTCCCTTGCGATCTGCCTCAAAATTTGGTCTTGCATATATACTAAGAAAAGGCCGCTGAGGTGGCTCAGCTTGGAAACCAAAAATGGTGTCAACAAGGTCAAAAAATAGAAGACGTATATAAAACACAAAAACAAAAAGAACCGCAAAGAGAGAAGACACACACATATAAGAAAAGAAACAAAAAGAGAAGAGAAGAAAAAGAAGAGAGAAAAGAGAGAAGGGAAGAAAAGAGAATAGTAATCAGAAGAGAAAAAAGAAAAAAAACAAACAAGCAAAAAAAAGAGAACAATCGATAAAAAAAAACAGAAACAAGAAAAGACAAGAGAAGAGAAGAAACGAACAAACAAAGTGAAAAATACAAAGGGAAATGCAACATGTTCTTCAAAAGCCTCCTGCTCGCCTTCCGCTTTGTATTCAGATTTTGTTGTGGCATGGTAAAAAGCAAAACATATACTAATGAAACGTTATGCAAATATAGTAATATAATGCTTAGTAAAATTGACATCCAATACATAGAGCAAATTATCATGAAATAGAACCAAAGAAATTGTGTTAGAGAAGAGTTGCTTTGCAAAAAATGACAAATGTTTATGCAAAAACCTGTTGGAAAAACGGAAAAAGAAAAGCAATCGCAAGAAAAAAGAAACCAATAAAGCGGAACATGTTAAATAAACATTAATCTTCTTCAGCCTTCCATAGCCTTCCATTTCCACCGGCTTGAATTATTTTGGATGCTGACATAATACAACTCATTATGTCAAAAAAAACATACTTAAATATAGAAATGCTTGAAAAAGAGCAACAATACAAGCTGTTTTTGCAAACAAATTTAAAACAATATGGTGTGTTAGAATCGAAAAAATACCAAATAAAATACTGTTGTTATTGTAATTCAAAACCAAATATAATTGAGACGTTTTAAAATGCAACTGTAAAATTTAAAAATAGAAGAGATCGGTTACAAATTTCAACACATATTAAAACCACCATAAGTTTATTTGATATTAAAGGTTAGCCGCCTATTGTTTTAACTAACCGATTTCTTTAGTACAAATATGTTCATGATTAACAGCTATAAATATACGTATTTGTGGCTTTCTTTCCTTTTGATAAACTAACAACACTTAATTAAAGGGCCTTCGAAAAACTATCTCGCAAAGACAACATAAAATAGAAAAAGGTTAAAACACACAACAGAAAAAGGAACATAATAGCAAGAAAAACATAAGAGAAGAAAAAAAAGAAAACAGAAGAGAAGAAAAGATAATAGAATAAAGAACAAATTCTTAAAACATATTCTTTTAACGGAAAAGAACACAACGAGAAGAACAGCGGCCAAGAGAAAAGAAAAGATGAGAGAAACGAAAAAGAGAAGAACAGAGAAAAGAGAAGAACAGGTACAACGACATTCCACGCCTTCCATGTAACCTGCACCCCAGCACCTTCAACATGCACAAAGTTTTAAAGTATTCCGTCTGCCGCGGAAAGTGCGATTCTGCCACACCTTGACACGTCCAGCAAAATATATTAAATGATTGCAGCCCCTTGCTGCCTTGCTTCACCCAGATCCCGCCAAATCGCAACTTTACCTGAGACATAACAACATTTTGTTCCTAGTAGCTTTTCTTGTTACTAGCAACGATGCCAGGAGCGCCCCTAGTAACGTCCTTGCTCCTAGTAGTAAGGCCAAGAGCTCCTAGTAGCATCCTTGCCCCTCCTTTATGGCCAGAGCCCCTAGTAGCGTCCCCGCTCCTAGTAGTAAGGCCAGGAGCCCGTAGCGGCCAGGAGCCTCTAGTAGCGTCCTTGCTCCTAGCATCAAGGCCAGGAGCCCCTAGTATAGCGTCCTTGCTTCTGATTGAAGTATTAAGGCCAGGAGCCTCTAGTAGCATCCTTGCTCCTAGTAGTATGGCCCTGAGCCCCTAGTAGTAGCGTCAGTAAGAATGCTACTATGTCAGGAAAAACACGCCTTCGAGGCAAGCACTTCAAGAGCAAAATCCCAATGGCACAGCGACATTCAACACCACAAGATCACCTTGTGAACGCCAATCCCGGCACAGCGAGGCAAAGTACTGACCTCACAAAACGCTGCACCTGCGCAGCAAAATCATCCTTCAGGCTCAGGCATGTCAGGTTTCGACGCTATGTCACAGTCACACGAATGTGACACTTCATGCTTGCATCCAAGACCTCCTCCAAAAGCTTCCCCCAACAGGAGGGCTGTGTTGATCACGTGCAATCAAGCGGCTAGTGGTTGTGAACGGCCAACATGAAAGCAACATCATGCGAACAAAGCTCTATACCCCCAGAACTTAAATTGAGAAACCTTCGCTACGCATTCGGGAATGGGAAGGATCACAAAGCACGCAGCACTGGAATGCAAGGCAAGGTGCCTTGTACACTCCCATTCAGAATGAACTAGCCACTGTCGGAATTTCAGGAATTCATCCCGCCACCACCACATCAGCATCCCAGTTAACTCTTCACATCTACATAGGATTGAGTCTTTGGAGTAATTACTCATCAGACTCATTACATCATGGCAGTCCCCCCCTTCTGGGCACCCAATGAACACCAACGAACAAACCAGGCCATCGCGAAGCTCAGGCACTGCCACTCAAACGTAACAGGGCGGATACCAGCGCAGTATGCAGTCCATTGGCTGAAACCTGAGTTCCAGGCCCTATTGCGATCGGCCGAAAGAGCTTGGGGCGTGATCTGCATGAGAGCTGAGCGCAGCCATGGGCTTCTGTAAAGGGTTCTCGGCCGACGACGCAACACAACAAACACTGCCCCAAGAAAACACGGTGGCGCGATTTCTGGTGGATGTTTGTTCAAGGGATCGTTGTCCCATTTGGGGGAGTTGACATTGAGATGCTTTCACGCGCCTGTGCCTTGGTCAAGGAGGGTCTGCCAGTCGTCTTGGTTGTCTTGGGTCGGTAAGCAATTTCGATAGAGCATGATACAACCCTGAGCAATTCGGGTTCATCATGCATTGCCTTTTAGGTTTGCGTAGCAGCGGCCAGTGAAAAGAATCTGCAGACCCAATTTCAGATTGAGTCAAATTAAGGAGCATGAAGAAAAGGAGGAAAAAAACGGTTTGCCCTCTCTAAGATTGCTTTAGGACACCTTTTGACTCCCTCTCTCTCTCTCTCTTTCTCTCTCCGTCTCAATTTGTCGGACCCAACCGCTGCCTTTTGCCCAGTCGCCAAGAGTGACGGGACCTGCGTCCGCTGTACATCATCTTCCACCACCTCAGTGGTGCAGTGCAAAGACATTTGGTCGGTTTCCTAGGCGGTTTCCTGCAGGAAATGGAGAACAAGAATCCCTGGTGTCCATGGGTTTCCTGCCGGTAATCGACTTTTTTCAGGCAAAAACCAGTGACGTAAGAGTTCTACATGGACTGATTTTCACACCTCCGTGGATCGCAGAATCTCTCCCAGGTCTTCCCCGATCACAATTCCACTGTGATGGTTTTTTTCATGTGCCCCAAGAAAGGTCAGGATTTTCTGTAGCCAGAGAGGTTGAAACCTGGATTTTCGTGAAATCGCGTGTTTCCTCCCAACTCGTTGAGGTCACATCAAATCTGCTGTGCACTGCATCTCCTGCAACGGAGTCTTACACCATGCAACACATGTTTGCGCCCAAAACCGTGCGACAACATGGGTCTGGTGGACCGGGGCGTCCCTCTACACCGCATGTCTGGACGTCCGACTGGACCAGTTTACTCGATGAGACAAAGCATTCGGACTTGTGCCTGTCGATCGTTCGTGGTTCAAACAATCCCTACAAATGTGAGTCAAAGCACTCCGACTCACGTTCCATCTTCAAGTGGAATCCACCCTGTTTGTAGAAGATCTTCTTCCCAAAGGCCATGCCACCCACGGAACAATGGAACGGAATATGAGTCCAAGGGATGGACAAGTGACAAAGCCAACATCGTTCTTCGAGTTCCGTAGGAGCAAGAAGCTACTAGTAGCTCCTGGCATTACTACTAGTAGCAAGAAGCTACTAGTAACAAGGGCACTTCTATTAGTAGCAAGAAGCTACTAGGAACAAAGGGCACTTCTATTAGCAGCAAGCAGCTACTACATCGTTGAACGTCCCCAAGCGCCACCCAGTCGTGGGCGTTTCTTCCTCCCAAGATCACGTGGATTTTGGTGAAGCTAAGGTGCTGATTTTGCCAGTTGCCCTGCAGTATCTCCAATGGGAGCAGCCACCCGGAGCGCTTTCAGGAGGAGTTCTTGCCGCTCACCGCCCGGGCAAGAGCCCAGTAACCTCGAAAAACGGCGCGGTCTGGAAGATCTGACCTGATCTGGAAGATCTAATAAGCCTGATTGTGCTATTTGAGCCAACAGTTACAAAGGACATCAGGATTTTGTGAGTGTATTGTCGTTATTTTTCAGATTGTCATGTGTATGTTATTCTTTTTGGGTGAGTGATCGTGAGTGTATTACTTATTTCAGCCAGAACCTGTGTTTGGAGACCCCTTGTGTAGTCTTCTGAGCCTGTTGACCGTAACTCATAAGAGGTGAACATGTCAAATTGCCAAAACATGCTGAAACTCACCTCAGCACAATCCTACTTCTAAGCCACATCCAACTTGGAAGTGGATTGAGGTTTGCACCAGCTCTGTCGTGCTCTGTCTACATGAAAGAGATGGACGCGGTTCAAAACTCATGGCACTACTAGTAGTATGCACTAGTAGACTCCTTGACCTTGACACTGGAACACCATGAACTGACGTTTGGCTCTATCTTTGACACCGAATGTGCCAAACGCATGTGGAAGCCATCAAAAACGCGTCCCATCTTCGCGTCCTGCCAGGTGACATGAGTAGTGCACCCCAAGGCTTCGCAGGGCCGCCCACCTGCTCAGCGCTCTGCCGTAGCTGCACCAGGACCTCTGTCGCCAGCTGCAGACTTGGCACCCGTGGGGGCACTGCTGAGGCTGCGATGGAGGGGAGCGCGTTGGCGCGGGCGTCGATGCGCTTTTGAGCTTCCTAAGGGCGGGCACGAGTAGACAGCCATGCATGTACTGTAGCGAGTGTTGTAATTATGATTGGAACATATAGAGGTTTTCAGACCGTGATCTGAGTGACATAAATACATTCTTACCATGATATCATAATATCATGATATATCATGACATGTAAAATGACTTGGACTGGGGAAATTAAACAACCTGGGTTATGAGTTATGATGCCATGATCGGAATCCAAATGCTCCTATGCATATGTTTGTTTAAATGGGTGTTCACCCCTACAAAGCTCCTTGCAAAAAACACATTGAAGACCTGAATGACCTGAAGTTGGGTTTCGGCCCAGATGTTCGGACCAAAGTCCTCGCATGTCCCAGTGGTCTCAGCTCTTCCTCGACAGGGTTACTCCTTGGGCTCCAAGAAACCAGTGGAAAACCATCTGCATCACCTTGGTCCTTTGTGTTGAAAGTGAGCGGTCCAAGAGCAAAGATTTGGTAAGCCAAGTGGCCCTCCTTCCAAGCCAAACGTGTGCGGCGGAAAAACAAAAAACAACTTTGAACAAAACAAGCGTGTGCGTTCGCGCGTAAAAATCTCAGCGTCGTCCAAGTACGCAAAGGCCTGGGAGATGTATCCATCGAATTCAGCCCGAGCATTCTGACTTGGAACCTGACATGCTGAGACAAAAAGGCATACCAACCAGGCTTCTTTTTTTGCTCAGGCGCTCTTTTGGGCTCTTTAGGGTTTGTGTGTTCCAGCATACTATGCATACCCAGTGTTGTCATGCTAGATTATTATATTGTAAGTCTAAAGTACCAAACAGCTTGGAGATTGAGAGGAATCAAAAGTCGAACAGGAAGATCCTGCCTGCAAAATTCAAATGTGAAGCTCTAAAGGAAGAAGGAACCATTGATCAGTCTGGTCACACAATTGACTCCTCCAAAACACAAACATCAGTTGCCAGTTCTATTTTGGTGTCTCTTCTTGTCTCCCCTCGGCGACCTTCCCCACCTGCTCCACTGCAGAGACCGCCGCTGCGTCCAGCAGTCCCGATGCTGCGGCGTCCAGCAGACTGGCACTGCTCGCGGCCAGGGCGGTGCTCGCTGCGGTGGCTGCGCTGGGTATTGCCTTGGGAAGTGATTCAGTGATGGTACAAACCCGGTACGAGGACAAGCATCAAAAGAAAAGCATAGAAAAGCAATGAAACACAACATAAAATTACAACATTACACCGGCATAGACCCAAATACCAAGTAGGTCTAAAAGCAGAGCCAGGCAAGCGAGGATTTGCAGTTTCGGACCTTTCCACGAGTTTGTTTTTGCGCGCTAAGGCTATAAGATGGGCTAAGGCTAAGGCTGTGGCGAAACTGCCGTCTGGAACCCTGGTTGGGGAGACCTGGTTGGGGAGAAACACGCCGATCAGCGACAGCAGCGGTCGGACCAAAACGCCGATCAGCCACCCACTCGAGAAGTGGCGCGAAGCCACTCATTGCGTTCAGCCATCGGAATAGAAACACAGATTCTGGTGACGAAAATGAGGACAAAAACGACAATAATGATGACGATGAGGCTGACACTGACAACACCTCTGCGCTTACAAACGTGACAATGGACTGACATTGTGTTATATAACGCCCCAAACCCCTCGTGCTAGTGAAGGTAATTAATCAAATACTCGCAAGTGAGTTTGTGTACGGTGGTTCCTTCGCAAACTCTACCACTCTCGGGTGTTCAATGATTTTCAGGGGTTACTAGTATCAGGGAATGAGACTAAGGTTTAAGAATCGTCAACGACATCGGATATTCATCAGGATTTTTTCCAGAAGTCTTCCCTTTCCTGCGTCAACACTGCCAAGCATCCTCGGCTTCGCGCTTCTGCACATACAGCGTATCACTGGCCCCTGCGATGCCTGAGCTGGCTGCAAACACCCGCAGCTTAAAGAGATGCATCATGAAGCCCCTTCATTAAATTAATATATACCCAAAAATGGATAGACACTGTTTTTGTTCGACTGAAAGCTTGGTCCCTGATGTTCCACGTACTACTTGCTTGTTCCTTCTCGAGGATAAAGCTGATTCACCAATAACGCATCAGAATGGCCATGGCACTGGTGAGCTACTAGGAGCAAGGACGCTACTAGGAGCAAAGGGCATCGTTACTAGGAGCAAGGACGCGACTAGTGGCTCCTGGCTCCTGGCCATACTACTAGGAGCAAGGACGCTACTAGGAGCAAAGGGCATACACTGGTGCAGTTTATGACTTTTTCTCCCTTAGAATGAGGTCCCAAATACCCCTCGTTGGTATTCCTGGAGGCCGGGGTCCGTTGCCCAAGAATGAATTCGCCCGCGAAGGAGCGATGCTACCGCCGAAGTCACCGCCCAAAAAGAAATCTGCTCCCATCCCCGGTCACTGTGTGCTTTCTGCAAACCACTCCATTGGGCAAAGGCCACAAACCTCTGGGGAGTCGACTCTTGACTCTTGAGGATAATTCACACAAAACATCACCACAGTGCGATCCTCTGCAGGAAAAGGGCAGCTGGAAATCAAAAATTCAACTACAGTAACTGTGTAACTAGGATCATCAATCATTCTACAACTGTAGAGTAACTGGATATCGATCCTGCATCTCAGATCTGTCGGGGATATCGATCCAGCTTCCCTTGATCCTGCTGACCTTCACGAAAACCATCGAACACCCATACACTGAAAGAATGGAAGGGGACAACGGCCCCTTGGATGCTAACAAGAAGCTAATTACTAGTAACAAGTGCCACGCTAGTAGTAACAGGTGCCTTACTAGTAGTAACAAAAAACTATTAGAATTAAATTAAAGATAATAGATGACCATCTTCCTCTACAAACAATTGGTTTTCCTCTGCCATGGTGCCCGCTGGTGCAGCCGGGCGCTGCGGGGCGTGTGGTGCGTCTGCAGGGCGTCCGCGGGGCGTTGCTTCTAAGTATGAGGTGCCTGGCTCTTGGTCAGCCTGAAGCCATGAGACTGCGATGGAACAGAACAAGCGCATCGCTACTTAGTAGCTCCTGGCATTACTACTAGTAGCAAGAAGCTACTAGGAACAAAGGGCATCGCTACTAGGAGCAAGAAGCTACTAGTAGCTCCTGGCATTACTACCAGTAGCAAAACATGAAATTTATTGATGGTATTTAGTTATTTCTTTCTTATCAATAAATTTCATCATAAAGGGGCAACCCATTTTCTAATTCTATGTACCAGATCATCCACTGTGGATCCTCCATCGTCGCAACGTTTTCTTCAGCCGTGCAAGGCCATCTTTAGGAGCCAGCAACTCCATTACAGTAATCCAACAAAGGATCATTCAATGCAAGTGTGTCCATGATCTACTTGAACCTTGTGGCATGTGCTTACTAGTAAGTTGAGAAACCTTCGTGAGAGACCTTACGTGTGCCAGAAGCAAAACAACTTTCTACAATCTCCAAGTTGCAACACTATGCGTTCCAATGATTCTCCATCTTCGACCGGAGCGATCGGACGCTACGAGGGCCGGCTCGCAACTGGCCTTACTACGAACGGAGCACATATATTCTATAGCACATTGGCCCCTTTCAGACGTTTTTGGCCCAGCTCCCCGGCAAGCATGCACTCCTGGCCCTTCCAGCGCCCCTCCCGGCCCCTCCCGGCCCGAACCCACCTGGCCATTGGTGAGGGCCGACTTCGGCAGCTCGACGGCGGGTTTGGGCACTGGTGGTCCCGGCTCGGGGATCGGCGGTGGCAAGGAAGTCAGTTGCACCGACACGGCACCTGAACGACCGAGGTTTGGAGGTTGGAGGTGTTTCGGTGTGCGGAGCGGATGGCATCAGTGTGTAGGGCATTAGTGCATAGCGCGTATTGGTTTGGAACATCCTTTTTGAGCAGGATACCTGGGAGTTGAGTTTGTTGGCATCAGGCCGCGCAAGGCCGCGCTACTCTCCGATCCGGGTGGTGATCTTTGGGAGTTCGGCTCAGAGATCACCCCAAGACCTGTCTGATCCAACGGCAAGTGGCGCTGATGGAACGGCAAGACGTCGGTTCTGGCCCGCACATGTTGAACTCTGATTGGCCGTCTATTTGCCGTAAGATGTTGGAAGACCCGCAGCTATGGATTAGCTGATGCCGTGGCCGGTGGGGCAACCCAGCTGTTGGCGTACCAACAAAAACGAAGAATAGATGCGTGCATTGAAAGAGGTTCAAGCTTCCAACTGCAAGAATGAAGAGCTAACAATCACAGGTTTGTTCAAAACAAAACAGACTGGTTAATCAAAATATTCTACTCTATCTTTGGATACCCTTGTCGGTGCAGTTTCCAACAAAGTCTTGACATTGAAATAGTTTGTTGTCGACATATGATTATAGGTAACCTCTCTCTCTATTCCTTTAGCACACCATTTCTTCTGCAATACTCACCACCTTTCAAAATTATCGGTCCAATGTAATGAACTCGCAAAGTGCCTTTTCCTCATGCTGGCTCATTGATTGATCCCTGCTCCACATGGCTCGACCTTCCCACCTGATGGGGGAGGTTTCCTTCACGCGTCGACAGACCTTATCCTCGGTACTCCGCATAGACCTTACAAATAGGAACTTTTAACTTCGGATGCAAGTCGGCCAGTAGAGGAATGACCATTTGCACGCATGTCTTTGGCAAGACACCTTCAAGCAAAAGCTCTTCCTGCACCCAATCTGGGATAGGTCCTCAGCTCAACCGCAAGCGGTCACCGCAAGCGCGCAGCCCGGCTGGCAACCCTTTGAGCACAGTCTTCGTGGCTGCTAGAGGCTGGAGGCCATCAAAGTGCCTTCCTGGAGAAAACTGCATGGGGACATTGTAGGATCTTCAAACAAAGAAAACAAACGAAACAACTCATTTCGCATTGCCTTTGCTTCTGCTTTTGTACCGCCCTGGGCCTGACCATATCACCTAAAAGCCTAGCTGATCGCCAAGGTACCAAGGCCCAACTCAGCGCCTTTGGGAACGGCACCTGGCGCTGTTGATCATCCCAGCACCGAAGCCGGACCCACTCAGCGAATCCGTCCGGTTTCCGGAATTGGATTTGTGGGTTTAGGGCCTCTGCTTGAGGGTTTGATGCATCTGACCATATCTGACTCATGTTCTTTTCTGTCTCTGAATTATGATACACAGCAACAGAAGCCTCCAATTCGCACTCACCAAGATGCAGTCTCCACAGGCTACCCTCAAACAAACACAGATACGCACAGAACAGCACCAGGCCCCAGTGGCAAGTTGAAGAGCTCATCTTTTCAACCCTCTCCACTTCTGCAGGTGGTCCACTCCCCAAGCTACTTGCACATATGCAACCTGCATGTGTCGAATTTCTAAAGGCTAGGTTTAACCCCCATCCACCCGGGTGTCACGTACATCGCTCCAATCTTCCAGTGTCTGCCTTTCACGGTGTGCACGAGCCTTGATTGGAGCCAAAGAGGGCTGCCAATAGACCTTCATGCCGTTTGGTGGCCACCACAAAGTCCTCAGTTCTTCCAGAGTCGAAGCAACAGTGACCTGTTGAACAGGAACCTGCACGTGCTTTCAATGATTTTTGTCCATCAACTGAATAAGCATATTATGAAGAATATTGACTGGACATCTGAAGTTGAAATCCTAGAATCGGGGTCGCTTCTTTGGGGAATGTACAGGGTCTTTTGTTGATTCGTCTCATTTGCCAGGGGTGACAAGACATGTTGAAACATTGAAAATCAAGAGCATTGCATCTGTATAGGACGCAATAGCACCTTCTTGGGGGGGTCTACAAGAAATACTCTATAAGGATTGGATTCCTGCGGGAAGGTCTGGGCAGTATTGTTCACCTTACTGTAACCTATGTAGTAACCTCTGTATTGTGCATGTTGCTGTATCTGCATATCTTCCCATCAAAGTGGTTAGCAAGTTTCACAGCAAGTCCTCATGCGAATAGTCCAATCGAAAATAAACCACAAATGCAACAAAGTAACGGCATCTTGATCTGGCCATATCAAAAAATATATACATATATATATATATACACATATTTCATATATCGAAGTGAGGGATTTTTCCTGCAAAAGAAGGACCTAGATGAACAGAAACCGCTCAGCAGTATGTTTATCCGTGGCTCTTCCATCTTCTTCCCCGGTGGCTTGGACCTCTCAATCCACTCCATAGTTCAAATAGAAGTCCTTCTGCTCAAAGGGCCCAAAAACGTCTTCAAATCCCTCCCCTAGGCCTCCAGGTACCTCCTGAGAAAGTATTTGGGCCCTCCAAACCCAGTCCCAAACACCGTACCCTCAGAAGGTACTTAAGCTTTAGAGCTCATGATCATCTCAAACATCGTACCCTCCCTGAAATCATCATGGCAGTGGTGTGGAGTTAGAACCACCTGTTTGGTATTCGGAGCATGCTCATGCCATCCTTTCACTCACTCGGGAAACATACCCCATACGGCCCCATGGCTTGAGTCCTAGTACCAGTCACAGTGGATGATGATGGTTAGGTGGCAAGTCATGTTCAAGCATGGCATAGTGATTCGATCCCATCTCCCTAGCTCTGCATCCAGCAAAGCTATATACAGAAAGCAAAGACGACCTGTGGCCACCCCAAGAAACCGGTTTACCGACTCAACCACAGGATTTTCTTGGGCTCTGTCCCCCAACCCATGCATCACCCATCTGTCACATGAGAGACAGCTCCATGGCTCGGCTGGTGGCAGGGCCATTCGAGCATGCGACTGGAAGTTGTCCAGCCATTGGATGAAGAGCAATTGCGTGGTCACCTGCCATCAAGCGTGGACAGTGGATGGCCCGTTTTTGTTGGGGCTCCAGGAGGCTCCAGGAGACCAGAAAGAGAATGAATGTTTGCCATCATTCTTTTGGATTCACCCCATGCACCCATGTTTGTTGGCCATTGCTCAGCTAACTGAGGGTCTTGGCCCACCCTGTCGCCGCACATCCATTTTGCGAGACGCCCCACCTGTCGCTTCATTGATTGAAGGAACTCCAACTTTCCTGAGACGGATCCAGCTAGCCGTCCTCCATGCGCCATGTAGATAGTGTAGGCAATCATCCTTGTTACTAGTAGCTTCTTCTTCCTAGTAGTAAGGCCAGGAGCCCCTAGTGCGTCCTTGCTCCGTTCGTAGCGATGCCCTTTGCTCCTAGTAGCGTCCTTGTAGTGTAGGCAATCAAAATCCTCCCTTTCTTGAGAAGAAACTGTCAAGTTTGGATCATTCCTTGCTCCCATACTCACCGCAAAAAGAGTGGAAGCGGCTCAACCTCACTAAAACGGAGATCAGTAAATCCCACCGTTAAGGCTACTGTACGCCGACCGAGTCTCTGGACTGAGCACGTTCCAATTGATCCAGGGCCCCACGGAGAACCACGTCCATCTGGTGTTGGGTCTCCTCGTGTTGAAACCGTGGCGTCCGTTGGTGTGAGGGAAACCACGTCCGTTGGGGCGAAACTCGGAACAGTGAACGCTGAACAGTCGGGAAAGGCTCCGTGCAGTCTCCGGTTCAGCAAAGGCTCGTGGCTCTGGGTGCAAAGAAAGAGATGGTGGGCTCCGGTCGCATCTCTGAGGCAAGTCTCATTTACACTCTGACTCACTAACATGGAAGTGGACAATGGTCACTTGGAAGACTACTTTCCTCTACAAACACGTGGTTTTCCACTTCCATGTTAGTGAATCAGAGTGTACTGCAAAGAAGGCTGGTACCAATGGACGAATCGCCCTGATCACATGTCCGTGAGTAGCATGCCCACAGGCTTGTCCGGATCAAGCGTTGACGCCTGATCACATCGCCACGGGATCGAGCATCCCTATCGCAACATGGATCACCATGAATCTTTCCAAAAAAGTTCCGGACAAGCGTGTGAGAGAACTCGGTGTTCCCTCAAAAACACGAGAGTAAACGATAGAACATGAAGGGAACGGGAACAACCAGTACATAGGATTTGCCCATTGTGCAGGTCCTGGAAGTTGTTGTGCACTTCCATCATTTGAAAGTGTCGATCTTGCAAAGCATCCCGCAAGAGAGTTTGGTGCTTCTCTTGCTGCGAATCCTTAGCACAACATCATCTTTCAAACCCATTCGATCATTGATCCACTGATCCACCTTCCAATGAATGGGACACTTCTTGGCCACCTGGTCTTGGAGCCTTACAGCAACAGGCAACAGCTGGCTCAAAGGCCTGACAAGGAAGTTCCAAGGAACGTTCATTCAAACAAAAACTCCTCCAGCTCTCCTGTCAGCCTCACATGAGTTCCTCAAAATCACATGGACCCTTCCAACCGGAGTTGAGTGTAAACTCCCCTCCCTGGGAGAGGCCGGTGCCAGAATTGCCGTGATCAAACGTCACAACACGCTCGAATACGACTCCTAACCTAATCTAACCCATGAACGCGACACCTTGATATGAGATGATATATGCGCACTCTCTCTTCTCTCCGAGCAGTTTGCCAAGAAAATGTGAACTTCCCTCAAGGCTGAAGCTGTGCAGTTTTTTTAGAGTACATGTCTTCCGAAGCAAAGATCCATGATGAAGCCTCATGCCATTCCATGCCACCAAAAGGATCTGCATGTTTCCCTCGTTTCCTTGTTCCGGAGGCTTCACCGTTCAACGCCCCAACCGGTCGAAGTCACTGAGTCCGTGCTCTGCTGCATCGCCAGCTGAAATGCTTCGACCGTGGACATCAGCGTGTGCCCCTCGTGCTCCTTGCGCGCGTGGTCCCCGAACTTGTTGCCTTAGAGGATCACGGCCACGGCTTTTCGGTTCTTTTTTTGGCGCGCCCAAACAAGACCCTCTTTTGCAGACTATACTTATACTTGTATGACCTTGGCCACTTGCAACATCTTGCAACCTTGGGGGTGCTGGGATCGATTCCGCTTCTGAATATCCGAACACGCGATGCTGACGTCGGGATGTTTCATTGTTCTTCTTCTTCTTCTTCTTGTTCTTCTTCTTCTACTTCTACAAGTACGCAGCATGCTGGATACTGGTCATGTCACAGCTGAGCAATGGCAGCAGTGCAGCCACGGTCGTAGGCCCCTAAACAAAATACCAACAAGGCCTCTGTGAAACTTTCAAACAGTGCTAAAATCCCCGGCATGCCGCTTCTGAACAAAGACTCGAACACTTAGAAGACATGGCTGTAAGAGAGTTATTTCATACTTCCTCCAAGCTTGCACTGGACTTTTTAGCAAGCCAAACATATCATAACACATCCACCGAAGCGAAGATCTTGGGGCCTTCAGTTTTGGATCGTGGCAAAACATCCTCATGTCAAACAGTTGGATCAGTAGCACCAGTGGTACTCCATCCCTCATTCTGAGGGGCGCCCAGTGGACCCAGGCCCGCCCACCCAGGCCCTGCTGCATCGGAGAAAGAGCAGACCCGAACCAAACGAGACGTGCTACCCTTGAATATGAGGCCAGAATCTTGGGATGCTGATCTTGAACATCCACACTTAGCACGAAAACGGGACGTTAGCCATTCACACAACTTCGATGAAGCCTATACCTAATTCGAGCCAGGCACAGATCCGACACAGCATCGTCTTGCATTGTAAGCACACGCTTTCATGTCGTTCTGAGGGGTGCTGCCGGCAAAAGCCGAATTGCAAAGGCGAATGCTCCAAGGAAAACCTGTGAGTGGAACGAAGGATGCATCAAAGCCGATCAGTCTACGGAAAGCCACTGGATGCACGTATCTACATATATTTCAGTGGATGATGGGTAGCATGGCCAGTTGAATGATGAAGGTTGGTAAACTTTGCTTACTTTCAAACAACAGAGAGGCAAGACTGCTAACCAATTTGGGTCACGTTGTAGTGCCAAGCACCGGGGGTCGAGCTTCGAGCCTAGTTTTCTCTTGTGTGGACTCCTAGTTTAAACACATGAGAATCATAATGGACACCTTGGCCAAGGATAATTCTTCAAGTTACAGTATATAACAGCACTTTGGACTCTGCATCAAGTTTGCATAGTGATGCATATTGATTGAAACGAACACCTGCTCTTCACAGACAAATCCAAATCAATCCCGCTAGGAACCGAGAACAAAACGAGTCAGTCATGCGGCTCCAAAACGTGTTGATGGATCGCTGAGGCGGCACGAGGTTTCTCCCCCTTTGTCCCGCGCCTTTGGTGCCGCGCGAAGAACTCATTCTCCTCGGAAACGAAACAACATCAAGACTGGAGCAGGAGCACTTGGGAATTCAAGTCTGGTTCCCTGTTCTTCTGTTGCTCGGTATTACATTTGGGTAAGTAGAACGTCATAGTGTCACAAATCTTAAATCATACTTCTTGTACCTAACAATTGCATGAAGAGACAGCGGACTTGAATTCCACTCGTGTATAAGCTACACAAGACCTACACCTAGACCGTAAATGATTGTCGAAGACCCATTATGGCTGAGGCTTGTGTGATCAGTTGTAATCCCTACAAGCACGGAATCTGGAGGAAGAAGAGAAACACCTAATTAATCCTAATTATACTAGACTGTACCACTGGTCGGGGCAGATAGGACACATTGACCCTGCAATGCCGGAACATGTCAGAACATGCGAGTGGACCACATGTCTCATCATAATCACTGCATCCTCAGGCTGTCCCCATCGTCTGTCCCGCCCTGCCGGCGTGAGCTGAGTGTCCGAGTGATGCGTGGTGTCACATGCGGCGCAGAAGTGGGCATTGTCATTCTTGCAATAGACCGCGGCGGGGCGCTGTTCGCAATACTCACAGATCAAAGGCTTGGCCGCAGCCCGTTGCTCTTCAAAAACCACCTCATCCACCAAAATGGCGGACTTGATGGAGATGTGGCGCAGAAAGGCATGAAGCTTCAAGGGACGGGATTCGGGTTTGAGTCCGAAAGGTGTGGAAGCTTACCCAATCTACAGTATACCACGTAAAAGATTACCGACAGTTCTGTTCAGCAATTCTTGAAAAAACAGCCAGGGACCCCTAAGGCCCTATAGTGACGAAACATGGGGAGCACGCCTCACAATCAAGAAATGCCGGTGACAAGTGCTCCACAACTCAAGTCTGGCGTTTCAGCCATGGTTTGCCTTTTCAGCTCCCGAAAGGAATCGACCAATGGTGGCCCAGAAGCTTCGCAAAGTGCATAGGGTAGAACCTGATCTCCTGAGAAATGACAAAAATGACGAGCTCGACTGACGAAACTGACTCCCCAACCGGACAGGACCAGGAACACCTCGCTCGGTAAAAAGGTCCATGTCCATCTAGCATAGCTTTCGTGATACAGTAAATAGATCAGAAATTGGTCTCTATCATGTCTTGATGAATGTTGTTTTTGGTATATTTTAGTGACTTCATGGAAAGTAAGTGTGTCACCCCCGGTTCGTCAACAAACATCTGCTTACATGTACAGTATACTCAGGCCTTGGCTGATATCCAAGGCGTTCCCATGCTCTTTCCCTTGTGTTCTGAGTATCAAACACACCAAACTGTGTCAGGTCAAGAACGACAAACCAATAAGAAAAAATATCAAAAGTGACAATCCTAGCTGCCGGCGAAACGACCATCACAACGGCAATCACGGCCAACAAACACAAAAAAAATAGCAGCAGCACCCACAAAAGGACAACCACGAACTACACCCACAAAATATACCTGTCCCCCATCACACCGTCTTTAACCATCAGCAACATCACACATATCCTATCCATGTCCTATCCTATCCTCATGCAAATCCTCCAAAATTCAACAGCTTTGTTGCATCAGCATCGAACTCATCCTCCTTCCTTGTCCCTCCTTCTCCCATCTTTCGAAACGCCAAGCATCGCTTTCTCACCCGATAGACCTGTTGCCAGTCGGCCACAGCGTCCAGCGAATCCGCACCGCGTGCTTTGGCCACGAGCGCCGACGCTTGGCTTCGGACCAGGCCTGATGGACCGAGCCGTTTTGTCATGAAAGAAACGATCAAGCGAACGTGAGTAGAGCAGAGACTGAGCAAAACAAACCATTATGAACAGTGGAGGCGTATGCTTCTATCATGTTTGTTTCAATGAGACCGCCAGTGAGATTCACGAATGATTTCGTTCGCAGGACTACGGGCAAACCACCTGGATTCAAGAGTCCTAGAGGGGGCTATGGGAAGAGATTTCTGAAAAGGTGGAGAGGCACTAAGTACTAAGCACGTAGCCTAGTACATATTATGGACCTGAGTAGCCTGACACAAGCGCTGCAATTTAGAAATGAGTTTGATCTGTGTCCTGGACAAGAAACATGAAAAACACCGCCAGGACACATCAATCACACCAAACTAGCAGGCAAACAACATCAAACAACATCAAACAACCAAATAACCGAGCAACTCCCCAACTCCAACCAACAAAACCAACACACCGACCGACCGAGCAAGCATGCAAGCCACAGCAAACAAACATGCCAACCAACAAACCAACAAGCAGGCACAAGAAACCACCCAATATATACAGTAAATTACAAGGTAACATCAAGGTACAATCTGTGCCAGCTCTCACGAAAGCAAAACGGCCACATGAAACCTAACAAGAACCAGGAAAGGTGGGACAAGCCCGACACAAGTCAAAAAGGCTTAAGTTCAAGATCGGCTGTGGTCAATTCGATCTTGGCTCAGATCTGCTCAGTGAAACACATTGAAACATTATATATATAGATCTTATAGTCCTGGGATGACAGTATACCTTTGTCGCTGTCCTCCCCTTCCGTCACCGGGGTGTCTCCCCCCCCCCCGTCCCTGTCCGTCCCTTCCATCCATTCCTGAAGAGGCCCCCGGATGGACCGATCCGACGTTGCATCCGGGAAGCACGAGGAGAAGAACTCCGGGAATTTGGGGACCTCTCCATCTTTCACCTAAGTTGGGTCGTTCTGGTGCCCCAAAAGACGATCTGAATTGCAAAAACACATGACGAAATGATCCCGATTTTGACCATTATGTAGTGACCAAGAAGCAAACCCAAGATTAGGACGCATTGAAGCTGGCACAAACTTCATTGGGTCTGCAATTCTACATGGCTCCCGTCGTGCCAGGATCTGCGATGAGAGCATTCGGCCAAGATGCTGTGCTGGCACGTCCAAGCGCAACTTTGCACACTAGGAATGCCTCTCAGGCTTCTCCATCGCGACGGGCTACCATGTGCCAAACACATGTGCAAACACGAGCAGCAGGAAATATCAGGAATGTAAGATATGATATGACCGACAGAGCAAATCGTGGGTTAGACGTACGTTGTTCGATCTACCAACTCTGATTGCATATTGCTAGCCTGGGTCAACCAACAACCATACTAGGACGCTACTAGGGGCTCCTGGCCATACTACTAGGAGCCAGAAGCTACTAGGAGCAAGGGCATCGCTACGAACGGAGCGATCGGACGCTACTAGCAACAATACTCTCCGTTGAACGCCCACGTCGTCGCGTGCCGAAACAACCACCAAACCCAACTTCACGCCCTCGCCTTGGCTTCGCCCCGGCGTAAGGCCCGGGGGAACTCCAGGGATCCGACGGGGAATTCCACGTCTCGCCAGTCAACGTCCAAGTAACCCGCATCCACCAGGTCGTGCCAATCCTTCCCAGACGCCTTGGTTGCAGGTATTTTGGTCGTGTCCACGGTCCACTTAGCGCGGAACGAGACCCTCCCAACATGGAGATGGCGGATTCCTTGAAGCGCCCGGCTGAAATCAGCATGAGGGCAATGTGTAAGTTTTTTTTTATATGTGAGTCTTCTATCGACACCTCTTGTGGGCCGGCACGCTGAGGGATTTTAGTTACTGCATGACAAATGTTAGCCATAGGCGTACACCTAGGCGAACTGGACACTAGAGAACTGTAAATGTTTGGCAAATGTTTGCAAACATCTTGCGATTTATATACATCAAACAATCTATCACCTCTTAACCAAGCACCGGTTGACACATGTTTTTTATTGCCTCACTTCCCAGTTTCACGCGCCTCTTCTCCGGTGATGTCTTCGACATCGATAAAACTATACACAATCGGGCCCTCAAGCTTCTCCGCGTAGACCTAGTAGAGGAGTGCGCATATTGTTTTGACCTGGGCCTTCTATCGCACCACAAGAGTAACTAAAAGTTCCTCAAAGAGAAACCAGAACACATTCAAGATCACATCATTCAGGCCATTAAAAAACAACAATTCAACACCATTCAGCACATAAAACAACAGGTAAACCGGGCAAAACATATCTGTTTCATGTTGTTCCATGTTGCAAACCAGGGCACGCGAAGATTCTCGAGATCGCTGGCGTCATAGAAGGACCAAGCCGTCCTGACCTTGGCGCCACCGAAGAGAAAGGTTAAGGCTTGTTTACAGGAGATATGACATGCCAAAACGTAGCCACAACCTTGATGAGGATAGGAGAGATATGGAAAGATTGTGAGACGTGATGATCAAAATGCATCAATCCATGTTTCAGTGTCCATGGTGCCATTGACAAGAGCAACGGGCATAACAACAACTAGTTGCATCTAATTGCTACCCACAACTTACAAAGGAAATACTTTAAAGTATATCGGACATTGACATGGAGGCTGCACTGAGTTCAGGAAAGAACACTGCACGCTGATCAAATAGGATGCATGCAGCGTCAGAGGATCACCGAACAATTGATTTATGACATCTTTTCTGCATTGTCTAGTTCCAAGCATTTCCAGCGGAAACACGAGTGAGCCGTCGACGATGCAAATAGCCCCACTGCAAAACCAGGCAATATGCGCATCTTTTGCCATCTACACAATGCGTTATTCAGCATCAACAAGGAAACTGGCATGTGTTCCTTTCAAAAATACAGTTTAGGATATTAGGGCTTATGACAAAGAGTTGAGCCTACTGGTTTTACCGGTTTGTGGAAACGTACGTACTACGTACACGCCTGCAAGCTTCCGGCTTGCAAACACTCCCGCCAAGAAAGACAGTCAGTGATTATAATTTGTCATTTTTTGGTTTGAAGAATGTGAACACACGAGTGGGAACCTGGATGAGCCTGGAGGGGAGCAAGCATCGGCCTTCAGGCGCGGTGGAAAACAAAATTTGCCCCTCTCTCTCTTGTAGCATTTGCCTGCTCTCAATCATTGGTGACTTCGTTGATCAGTGTGTCTGTAGCTGCTGCTGCAGTCGCTCCACCCACCAAACCACCAAGAATGCCACCAACCACTGCTCCAACAGGGCCAAGAACAGCACCAGCAACAGCGCCGCCAGCTTCTGCGTATGCCCCTCCAGCAACCCAAGCAGCACCATTACTGGCAATGGCTTCGGCTCTCCACGTGTTGGTTTTAGCTTGACTGAACTCGTAAGCAGCACCAGCTCCTACAATCCATGGGGCAGCCTTAGTCGCCAATGTACCCCACTGCGCTATGGGGCTCCCTTTGTTCGAATGCCACTGCTTCCTTGGTGGCCTTCCGAAAACCAGCTTTCAATGAGGAGTCGCAAGTGTTAGCGCGCTTGATCTGCTGAATGCCTTTGCCATTGACTATGTGCTGAGCAACGCCTGCTTTGCCCATCCGGCCCAGTCTTGCAAGATCCTGTGAGACAACCACTTCCCACGGTTCAAGAGCAGCATGATTTTGGAGGTTCTTGCCAAACCGCTGCCATGATTTTGGGTGGCAAGGGTCCCGACCAGGAAGCCGGGGTGTGGCTCTGGGTTTGAACTTACTGGGCAGACCTGCTGGTTTCCTCCTGAAAAGCAAAACTACCCAATGAGACTACTGCTTGAAAGATGATATGACAAATTTATCGTTAGTCAATTGTGTATGTGTAAAGCTAACTCAGGACTCAGGCTCTGCTTTGCTTTTGACGTGAATGCTGAATGCTCATATGTTCTGCATTGTTTTAGTTTGAGTTTGTGCATATATGCTTAGGCTTCTAATGCTTTGCATGTTCATGTCAATTGTATTAATTTCTCCCAATGGGGTGGGAAAATATGCACCACCGAATTGACAACAAGTCTTTGGCCCAAGATTCATGCAAATCAGTGGAGCGGAAGGTCAACTTGCACCAATACCTCATGCGTGACAAGAGAACGGGATGTCTATAAGAGTCTATAACTAGGCCAGAGTGGGTTCGAAACCCTGAATTCTCCAGTCTTAGTTTGAGTTCTTCTTGTGTTGCGTACACACGAAGAGATCCGTTCAGGGGCCATCTTATCGCTTAGGGCAGTGAACATCATCCAAAAAGCCCGTTCTACAGGTCCATCATCCAAAGACAACATATACTATAGAAACCATGATAGATCGTGATAGATCCATCTGGAGTTCTTGTACGGAATGAATTCCAGTTTCTATCCACTGTGCCAAACACTTTGGAGGAAATTCAGATCACCCACGATTGAGCTGCTCAAGGAATGTGTTGCTGGGTTGTTCATGCACGAAAGGCCTTCTTCAACAAACAAACGAAAAATATAGAAAAATAGCGGAATTCAGGGCAACAAAAGCGGAACAAGCTTTAAGTTTCTTCAGTTTCTTCCCTTTCTTCGCTTTGCCTTTTCGTCCAAGCCATCTTAGTCCAAGAGACTCCAAGTACTGAATTTCATCGGCATCCTCAAGCTCTCGTGCGCGGGGTGCCATGGCGCGGTCTGGCGCATCATGCGCATGGAGACAACTGCTGCAAGGTGGCAATCGCATGGATTCCGCTGCTGCTAGGGGTGATTCATCATGTTGGGAGACCAGCGGGCTGTGTTTGATGTTGTTTGAGCTGATCAGGGCACTGCTGATCAGAACCAACAGTGCGTCCAAGGAGGAAGAATTCACAATTCAGTCAAAATGTTAGCTATGTAGTTCAATGAAACGACAGCAAACTCTTTTTCCCGGAGAATCTGTGGAATAATTGATCGGTGCGAACATCTGGTCGCTTTCAGTATCACGTGCTCAACCTCCACTTCACAACCGACCAGCTAGGGTGGGTCAAGGCTGTTCCTGCACAGTTCATCTTCGTGGCAAGTATATCGTGAATTGAGCCTGAAAGCAAGCAACGTGTGTGTGTGTGTTTTTCTATTAAGTGATTGAACACCCCTTGATCAGTTCTAGATTGAAAAGGGTTGAACACATATTTGACATATTTAGAGATAATGATGCAGGTAGATCTGTATGTATTACTTTGTATAAATGCTGGATAGTGCACAGCTGGAAACTAGTTCAATCTATTCCAGGTTATTCTTGATGTTGCTGTTCTGGTGTTGGTGCATTAATGCATCATAATGCATCTGTCAATGACTCAATTGACCAAAAAACAAAGACAACAATTGCCTGACATATCGCAAACACCCAATTGAGGTCATCAACGCCTTTTCCGATCAAATCTGCTAGAGGATTGCTATATCGACCACGAAACTGACTGTTCCCCGATCACTTGATCTACGCTTGCTTCCCCACGCAAACCGAATCTGCCCACCCCCCATCCTCACCGATCCTAGGTCACACGCCGCCAATGCGCCTGGAAGGCTCTACCCTCGTTCCGGAAGTTGTTGACCATGATGCTGGACAGATCCACCCGCGCAACCTAGCACTTTCGAGCGAGCTTGGGAGCGATGAGGCTGCTTCTTCAAGCACCCTCGGGCTCGATGGGTGGTGCGGAAGCACCCTCCTGCGAGGATGTTGGAAGCGTTGGACAAGTGTTCCGCTTGGAGTGTTCCTTCGGATGCCGAAGGGTCGGACGAAGCACTGGAGCACATGTGTGAGACTTCAACTGAAGCCTGCAATGCAAGGCAAGGCCACCACTATAGGACCTAGGAGGTGAACAAAACGACTTGCTTTCAAGACAATGAACAACTGATTGTGACTCCGCCTCCTTGTGGTGTCTCAACTCCCCAACCATCCCTGAAATTCAAAATCCCCCAGAAGACACTATCTATATAGTCATCTTGAATGTCCTTTTTCAGCGCGCATAGCTATAACTCTCTTAGAATTTCCTCCTTCGTACCTCACTTTGGCACATGTTGTCTACCCTGCCCTTTTTCCGCTTTTTCCCCTTCTCCCCCCACGCGATCCCACACAAAACCCACCCAACTTGCACCCCGAAACCAGCCGCGCCGCCCCAGCGCGTCGCGCGGTGCCCCGCCTCGACCCCCAAGGAGTTCGCAGCGCCCACACCGGTGACCACGCCCAAGCCGGCTCCCGCGGCCGGGCCCAGAGGAGTCACCTGGGACGGAGAACAGCGGCTCGCCATAGAACCCTATAGACATCACCAGAGTTCGGGAGGTGGAGTGCAGGATTTGGGGGGGGATGTTGGCTGTTTGGACATGGTGCTTGCATGCTTGTTGTGTTTTCTGTGTCATACTTGAAAAGTGGTGGAAGCTGTGTGGATGGTGATGATCGACGACCATCACAGATGTCGTGCGTACATGGTTGGCTTCCAATATGTCTTTTCCCAAAATGGTGCACTGATCGCAGTTCCATGGGGGCCCGCTTCTAAATCTCCTTTAAACTCCAACCACACTCAAACCACAGGGATGTTCAATATGAAGGCATGTCAACTGCAAAAATTGTGAGAGGTGTCTAGCGCGGACCTTTTCAGGGGCCTGTTGAGCTGCTGGAGCTGTTGTTGTTGTTGCTGCTGCTAGACTTCTGCAGTTGTTTCCAATTCTCAGAAGTCTTCAGAACGACATAGGAAGGACGTAAGAGCTGACTCAAAACATTCAGGTGTTGGATGGGCAGATGGTCAAGAAATGGACCGTCGTCTAGCGCGGTGCTAGCGCGGATCTAGCGCCAGCCTAGCGCAAAAATATCCGTCGATTTCTTCATCCTGTCAGGTTCTTAGTTTTCCTGCTTGCTTGTCTTCTTCTTGTTGTGCATTCTTCTTCTTCTTCTTCTTTCTTTTTCCTTTTTCTTGTGGTGCTTCTTCTTTTTCCTGCTCTCTGCTTGTTTCTTCTTTGCTTATCTTGTTATGAAGAAACCTAGCGCCAACCTAGCGCCAATCTAGCGCTGCCTTGCTGTATCACCATAGTCTGCTGGGGGCCCGCTTCTAAACGAAGACTTAAAACTCATCTCCAACCCTAAAAGTTTACGTTTATCTAAACTTTTTGAGTAGGGCTTTTTGAGTGCAGTCCACATGTGTAATCATGTGTATGGTACCATTGTACTATAGCTTCCCTAAGTTGAGTTCCAACATATATGTTGGATAGTTTTTTAATCAACGTGCTTTTTGTGAGAACGACGGTTCTATATGCTGAAAATGGGCGTGAAAGGATCGTGAAAGGAGAAGAGTCTGGCATTGATTCCTTGGGGTCGACACTCCGCACACAACTTGGATTTTCCCGCCACCCAGAATTCCAGCCTTTGCCTTAGGAGGTTGCTGCGTGGGATACCTTCTAACAACACAGCCCTGGTAAGGCCAAACCATGGATATAATCGATCTAGATATTTTGCTTGTTTGATGCTTGGACTGGACCAATAATAGCCCTCGAACTTAAGTCGTTGAATCGAAAAAATCTCAGTGACATGACCTACACCTACATCACCTATGACCTACATCACCTTCGGATCATGTCGACGGCGTGTCTACCCTTGAAATCGTCGTTTCGCGTCGCCGAAGCCGATGAAGCCGAGCGGCAAGACCGCCGGCGGCGCCCACGAGGGCGCCCGCCACCGGCGCGAGCTGCGACACGGCGTTGCCCACCAACTGGGGTTGGCGCACGGGAGGTGGGAGAAGCTGCCGGGGAGGCGTCGGTGGGGGTCGGAGATGGGTAGGGTCTGAGATTGGTCGGTTGTGGCAGAAGGTCCAAAAGATGCCAAAAGGCGTATGCCTTGGATGGTCTTGGGTAAGAACCAAAGATATGCATAAGTTGATCTGACGGATTTGTGTCTGATTTGTTGCATATACAGTACCCTCAGACCGATGGGGTTGGGTTGGCCTTTTGTCCTGGAGGGGTCTATGTTGACAGTTGAAGCAATTGCAAATGTGAGCAGAAGATCGCATTGGAATTGGGCATCATGTCGGTCTCTCACCAAGTTCTTTTTGTCCCAGAGCCCCAGTCTCCTATCAGTCAACTGAAGCATGAACATTAATCCTTGGTTAATCAATGCATCCATGTGGGTGATATTGCAGGTATTGATCCGCTTTGAAC